ATGCCAACTCCGACACATCGCATATGTCGAACATTTTGTTAGAATGCCAACTTCGGTACATCACATATGTCGAACATTGAGTTAGAATGCCATTTCCGACACGTCACATATGTCGAACATTCAGATAGAATCAGAAGTATATTATCCCTTATGCCGACGATTTAGATAACACTTACATCCCCTGTCGCACACTAAGACAACGACGACCCCCACGACCTACTCCTCTTGTCGAACAAGTCGACAGATTCAATCTGAAGCTCGCGTGCGGACCAGCATCATAATCGATTGTGTTTCCGACAAGGCCTGACCTCTGAGTGCAGCTAGTTACAGCATCACGAGCTACACCGCCCATATCCCCATCGATATAATAACCCAGCACACGATGGTGATATTAGTCATTACCACCAGCACACGATGGGGATATTAGTCATTACCACTAGCACACGATGGGGATATTAGTCATTACCACCAGGACACAGGGGTGATATTAGTCATTACCACCATCACACGATGGGGATATTAGTCATTACCACCAGCACACGATGGGGATATTAGTCATTACCACCAGCACACGATGGGGATATTAGTCATTACCACCAGCACACGATGGTGATATTAGTCATTACCACCAGCACACGATGGTGATATTAGTCATTACCACCAGGACACAGGGGTGATATTAGTCATTACCACCAGCACACGATGGGGATATTAGTCATTACCACCAGCACACGATGGGGACATTAGTCATTACCACCAGCACACGATGGTGATATTATTCATTACCACCAGCACACGATGGAGATATTAGTCATTACCACCAGCACACGATGGTGATGTTAGTCATTACCACCAGCACACGATGGTGATATTAGTCATTACCACCAGCACACGATGGTGATATTAGTCATTACCACCAGCACACGATGGTGATATTAGTCATTACCACCAGCAAACCATGGTGATATTAGTCAGTACCACCAGCACACGATGGTGATATTAGTCAGTACCACCAGCACACGATGGTGTTATTAGTCATTACCACCAGCACACGATGGCGATATTAGTCAGTACCACCAGCACACGATGGTGTTATTAGTCATTACCACCAGCACACGATGGTGATATTAGTCATTACCACCAGCACACGATGGTGATATTAGTCATTACCACCAGCACACGATGGTGATATTAGTCAGTACCACCAGCACACGGTGGTGTTATTAGTCATTACCACCAGCACACGATGGTGATATTAGTCATTACCACAAGCAAACCATGGTGATATTAGTCAGTACCACCAGCACACGATGGTGATATTAGTCAGTACCACCAGCACACGATGGTGTTATTAGTCATTACCACCAGCACACGATGGTGATATTAGTCATTACCACCAGCACACGGTGGTGATATTAGTCATTACCACCAGCACACGATGGTGATATTAGTCATTACCACCAGCACACGATGGTGATATTAGTCATTACCACCAGCACACGATGGTGATATTTGTCAGTACCACCAGCACACGATGGTGATATTAGTCATTCCCACCAGCACACGATGGTGATATTAGTCATTACCACCAGCACACGATGGTGATATTGGTCAGTACCACCAGCACACGATGGGGATATTAGTCATTACCACCAGCACACGATGGGGATATTAGTCATTACCACCAGCACACGATGGGGATATTAGTCATTACCACCAGCACACGATGGGGATATTAGTCATTACCACCAGGACACAGGGGTGAGGTGAGGTGAAATGGGGTTTAACGTCGCGTCCAAGATTAATGCACTTATATAGCGACGTGCATGTACGTGTGTGTGTTTGTGTGGCTGCTTGTACTAGTCCGGACTGATGCCAATTTATAGCGCAAGCTCACTGAGATACCATGCCGCAGTTTAACATGAATACCCCACTCAGACACAGTATACTGACTCCGAGCCGACCAGTCCTTGTTTTAGCCCCTTAATGCCGAGCGCCAGACAGGGTAACAACAAGTACGATCTTTTAACGTCTTTTGGTATGACGCGGTCGGGGATCGAACCCCGGACCTTCCGCTCTCCGGGCGGAAGCTCTACCACCAGACCACGGAGGCGGTCCCGAGGACACAGGGACTGTAACGGCTTGTTTATCAGTAACTGGAACGACGGCGACGACAGTGTGCAGTACATTGTTAACAACAGCGACGGTGGTGACAGCGTACTGTAGATTGATAACAGAGGGTGGATGTGACGTCCTCCCTAGTCTGCTGTGCTGGTAGATCTGTACACTTATAATGGCCACAACCCCCGACACAAACACTGGCGAGCGAGCATGTGAACTGATGCTCATTAGCTACCGGAAGAACAACGGGAAGTGTTCCATGTGGTGAGAAGTGTCATTCCTCGGTTACGTCTGTAGAAGTTAAGAAGGCATGACAGTCCTAGTTACGTCTGTAGAAGTAAAGAAGGCATGACAGTCCTAGTTACGTCTGTAGAAGTAAAGAAGAGATGGTAGTCCTAGTTACGTCTGTAGAAGTAAAGAAGATATGGCAGTCCTAGTTACGTCTGTAGAAGTAAAGAAGAGATGGCAGCCCTAGTTACGTCTGTAGAAGTAAAGAAGGCATGACAGTCCTAGTTACGTCTGTAGAAGTAAAGAAGAGATGGCAGCCCTAGTTACGTCTGTAGAAGTAAAGAAGGCATGACAGCCCTAGTTACGTCTGTAGAAGTAAAGAAGAGATGGCAGTCCTAGTTACGTCTGTAGAAGTAAAGAAGATATGGCAGTCCTAGTTACGTCTGTAGAAGTAAAGAAGATATGACAGTCCTAGTTACGTCTGTAGAAGTAAAGAAGGCATGACAGCCCTAGTTACGTCTGTAGAAGTAAAGAAGAGACGGCAGTCCTAGTTACGTCTGTAGAAGTAAAGAAGATATGGCAGTCCTAGTTACGTCTGTAGAAGTAAAGAAGAGATGACAGTCCTAGTTACGTCTGTAGAAGTAAAGAAGAGATGGCAGTCCTAGTTACGTCTGTAGAAGTAAAGAAGATATGGCAGTCCTAGTTACGTCTGTAGAAGTAAAGAAGATATGGCAGTCCTAGTTACGTCTGTAGAAGTAAAGAAGAGATGGCAGTCCTAGTTACGTCTGTAGAAGTAAAGAAGGCATGACAGTCCTAGTTACGTCTGTAGAAGTAAAGAAGGCATGACAGTCCTAGTTACGTCTGTAGAAGTAAAGAAGAGATGGCAGTCCTAGTTACGTCTGTAGAAGTAAAGAAGGCATGACAGTCCTAGTTACGTCTGTAGAAGTAAAGAAGGCATGACAGTCCTAGTTACGTCTGTAGAAGTAAAGAAGGCATGACAGTCCTAGTTACGTCTGTAGAAGTAAAGAAGAGATGGCAGCCCTAGTTACGTCTGTAGAAGTAAAGAAGGCATGACAGTCCTAGTTACGTCTGTAGAAGTAAAGAAGATATGTCAGTCCTAGTTACGACTGTAGAAGTAAAGAAGGCATGACAGTCCTAGTTACGTCTGTAGAAGTAAAGAAGATATGACAGTCCTAGTTACGTCTGTAGAAGTAAAGAAGAGATGACAGTCCTAGTTACGTCTGTAGAAGTAAAGAAGAGATGACAGTCCTAGTTACGTCTGTAGAAGTAAAGAAGGCATGACAGTCCTAGTTACGTCTGTAGAAGTAAAGAAGGCATGACAGTCCTAGTTACGTCTATAGAAGTAAAGAAGAGATGACAGTCCTAGTTACGTCTGTAGAAGTAAAGAAGAGATGACAGTCCTAGTTACGTCTGTAGAAGTAAAGAAGAGATGACAGTCCTAGTTACGTCTGTAGAAGTAAAGAAGGCATGACAGTCCTAGTTACGTCTGTAGAAGTAAAGAAGAGATGGCAGTCCTAGTTACGTCTGTAGAAGTAAAGAAGGCATGACAGTCCTAGTTACGTCTGTAGAAGTAAAGAAGAGATGACAGTCCTAGTTACGTCTGTAGAAGTAAAGAAGATATGGCAGTCCTAGTTACGTCTGTAGAAGTAAAGAAGAGATGACAGTCCTAGTTACGTCTGTAGAAGTAAAGAAGATATGGCAGTCCTAGTTACGTCTGTAGAAGTAAAGAAGAGATGACAGTCCTAGTTACGTCTGTAGAAGTAAAGAAGAGATGGCAGCCCTAGTTACGTCTGTAGAAGTAAAGAAGGCATGACAGCCCTAGTTACGTCTGTAGAAGTAAAGAAGAGATGACAGTCCTAGTTACGTCTGTAGAAGTAAAGAAGATATGGCAGTCCTATTTACGTCTGTAGAAGTAAAGAAGAGATGACAGTCCTAGTTACGTCTGTAGAAGTAAAGAAGATATGACAGTCCTATTTACGTCTGTAGAAGTAAAGAAGATATGGCAGTCTTAGTTACGTCTGTAGAAGTAAAGAAGGCATGACAGTCCTAGTTACGTCTGTAGAAGTAAAAAAGGGATGTATGTGTATGTGTGTGTAAAGTGTGTGTGTTTGTGTAATGTGTGTGTAATCGTACGTGTGTGTGCAAAATGTGCAATGTGTGTGTGTGTGTGTGTATTTGTACATGTGTGTGTAATGAGTGTGTGCGTGCGTGCGTGTGCGTACGTGCGTGCGTGCGTGCGTGCGTGTGTGTGTGTCTGTGTGTGTTTGTGTGTGTGTTTGTGTGTGTGTGTGTGTGTGTCTGTGTGTCTGTGTGTGTGTGTGTGTGTCTCACAGTTCCTGGACCATGTTTTTTTCCTTACAGTAATATTATACCCCTTCAAGTTGCAAGTGTATATTTTCCAAAGGTTCGGGTTATGAAACTCCCATCTCACTGGGGCTCCTTTTCAAATCAAATGGATTTGTTTGTTTCTATCAAAATTCTATTTTACAGAGACAGAGCGTTAGAGTACAATGTGTGAAGCCCATTTCTGGTGACCCCTCCCCCGTTCATATTGCTGGAATATTGCTAAAAGCGGCGTAAAATACAAGTCACTCACTCACTCAGAGACAAAGCGTTAGTGTGTACGTTACCCATGTGGCTGCACCAGGCTCCCATAGCATAGAGTTTTCCCTCCTCACAAAACAACGCCAAATCCTTACTGGAGCCAAGCTTGGCGTGAACTCTACGACACTTCACGGTTTTCATCTCTGAATACGGCCCCATGAGCCTCCACTGTGGGGAGTTTCCATCTCGGGCTGCGCGTGAACTGGAGTCTACTGGTAGTGTCTGTTTCTCCGAGGAATCGCTCCGACGGGAACTATTAGTAGACGCGTCACTGTTAACTCCATTGTTAGACTTCACTGTCGTCTGCTGGCCACGTATCGTCTGCTCCCACCTGGCTGTCGTCTGCTCCATGGTCGCGTGCAGGTCTGAATACGTCGGCTGACTGGGGGACACTGATCCACTCACAGCTGTGTATTTTACCCGGAAATGGATGTTCGACGTTACTTGGTGCGGTTTCTAGGAGACGGGTTGGTCTCGCGCTTGTTACCAAGGGGACAGTGGTTTATATTGATCGCGCGAGTTGCCGCCGTGCTGGTGCCGGGGGAACAGGTAATCAGCGTAATTAGGACAATGAAGTAATCGATTTGTGGTAATCTAGATCAATTAGCCAGGAACCACGATAAACTGTTTAAATATCCCATCCCAATGACGGGGAATAGGAAGAGCTGGCGGCACGGGCCTCACTCGCGTCCGTATGTTCCGTAGCTCACCTTGAGCATATCTGGTTCCAACCCAAACTTTGTTTTGTTGTATCACTTGGCCATGAGCAGCTGCATTCCCAGCCATGTACTGCTGCCAGTTCACGAGCTGACATTTCCTGGATGTGGTCACAGTGTTACAGGGGCAGTCGGGTAGCCAAGTGGTTAAAGCGTTCGCTCGACACGCCGAAGACCCGGGTTCGATTCCCGACGTGGGTACTGTGTGTGAAGCCTATTTCTGGTGTCCCCCGCCGTGATATTGCTGGAATATTGCTAAAAGCGGCGTAAAACCACACTCACTCACTCACTCACTCACTATGTTACACAGTACGGCTTATCTGTCCAAATGTGTTTCAAGTTTATAAAACCGGAATTAATGTTCTGTGAAAATTCTGATTTATTTGAATTTGAAGACGAATATCATTTCATGCTAGTTTTCCCATGTTAATTTTATAAGAGGTTTTGCTCTTTACTTTTCCAGTTAAGCAGAAGTATTAATCTGTATTAAAGATGTAGTTTTATTTATAAATATATACTTTTGCATTTCGAAATTACGTAAATAAATATACTCTTCAAAACAAGAAACGCAAAGCCCGATTTGTGTGAGGGAGGAAATACAGTTATTCGAGGAATCATATAAGGTATTGAGCTGGAGAGAACACTTGGTGATTGTAGTCATCTCAGTTATCGGTACATAGGAAAAGTCCAAGGTGAAGGTCAGCTACCATCAATAACGCGTATGTTCCCCGTTGGAATCGAAAGCGGCCTGACATCTCCTGCCCATAAAAGGAGACGAGTATGCAAATAACATCCAGGGGAATGGTATCCCACTCGGCCTGCAACGCAAAAGCCAACTGCTGCAACGTCTGGGGTAGTGGTTGGCGTCGGCATGGCCGTCTATCTAACTCATCCCACAGGTGCTCTATCGGGTTCAAATCCGGGGATCTGGAGAGCCAGGGGAGAACATCAAGGTTGTTGTTGTATAGATAGGCTCTTGTGATCCGTGCTGAATGCGGTCGAGCCTTGTCCTGCTGGAATAAAACGTTGCCGTTGGTTGCAATTAGGAGGACGTGTGGTAGGAGAATTTCGTTGATGTATCGTTGAGCCGTAAGATTGCCCTGCCTATGGACCAAACCTGTCCTGCCATGATGAGAGATAGCCGCCCACATCATAACGCTACCCCCACCAAACCTGTCCTGTTCCTTTATGCAGTTTCCGGCGTACCGTTCTCCCCGACGTCAGTAGACCCGTGCTGTTCCATCCCCTCGACGGAGGAGAAATCTTGATTCGTCGCTGAACCAGACATCTCTCCATCGCAGTTGAGGCCATACCCTGTGTTGACGACACCAATGCAGTCGTTGATGACGATGTTGTCGACTCAATATGACACGTCGAACAGGACATCTTGCTCGTAGACCTGCTGCTCTTGAACGGTTTCATTCGGTCTGGTGGGAGATTCTGCGCGGTCCGGGTATTTAGGATGCGGTTGAGGTGGCTGTGGTCGTCCTTTCACGTAGGTGGCGCAGTAGGATGTAGCAATCTTGGGCGGGGATGGTTACTCTTGGTAGACCCGACCTTGGCCGATCACGTGTTGACCCATGCTGTTGAAACCGATCCCATTGCCTTGTGATGGTGCTGGGCGCTACATTGAAAACCCTGGCTACAGCTGATCGGGATTCCCTTGCCTGCAAGTGGCCTATGACGTTGTTTCTTTGCACTTCTGTTAATCTTGGCATGTTGTTGAACTGTCACTGTTCGATTGCCGCAGGCGCCAGGCAATCAGAGATTCTGCACTTAAATACCGTTCATAGTGCTGCTGCACGTTCAGTGCGTGCAGCTCCATGGCCCTTTTGTTAATGCACTGGGTGCGTTTTTCCGAATCGTACGTGTTTCCCGACTAATTGTTTGCTTGTCCTTGTTGTGATCATTTTGATCAGGGAAATTTGTCACTATTATAAGGGTAACGCTATTTTTCAGGGCATTATCATTTGCAGAAGCCCGAGTTCTTCCATTAACTGCCCGACGAAGGAGGGCAGTTGAAAAGACCGAGGGCTTCTGCAAATGATAATGCCCTGAAAAATAGCGTTACCGTTATTATAGCTAAAATGGATGGAATTTGTTATCAAATAAAAAGAAACAACAATGTCGATTTTGAAACATTTACTGCAATCAACACGCGGTTTAATGATAATTCTATCCATTTTAGCTATAATGTGTATTATAGCTAAAATGGATAGAAATATCATTAAAACGCCCGCATGTTATCAGAAATGAGCGGGCCACTGTAATTTGATAATGCCCTCATATTACTTGACGACGGGCCATTATCACGCCCGTTGTTAGGTGACGTCATATGATAGGGATAGGTGACGTAACGTTCAATAGTGACGTCATCTGGTTTGTTCTATGACGTTTCCATGTTTGTAAAAGTCGGTCAGTGACATTCGTGTTGATTGCAGTAAATGTTTCAAAACCGATATTGTTGTTTCCTTTTATTTGATGACAAATTCCATCCATTTTAGCTATAATAACGGTAACGCTATTTTTCAGGGCATTATCATTTGCAGAAGCCCTCGGCCTTTTCAACTGCCCTCCTTCGTCGGTCAGTTAATGGAAAACCTCGGGCTTCTGCAAATGATAATGCCCTGAAAAATAGCGTTACCCTTATATTAGACCTCTTCATTTTGCACCTCTTGGTCCGCTAATTGTGCTTTTATGGCCAAAAATATATTTATTGCGTTTCTTTTTTTAACAGTATATATAATAATCAAGATAAATCGTATACGTTGTATTAGGTAGGCGTGACGTCACATGATATGTCAGTACAGTTGTGAAAGTATCGATAATAATGATGACATAATCTCGCTTTGCCTAAAACGACTGGGGATAATATCACATGTATGTTGAGTTTTCCATTGGAACTTCACAGTTCCGTCATCCAGTGAGATTCACAACACTTCCTCCATTGTTTCGAAGCGGCCAATAGCACCAACGCATTATCGCAAAATATTAAAGATGTCGAAATCTATCGCTTATGACATCACAATCTGTTTCATCAGACGTCGTTCAAAAAAACAGATTGGCTGAGTTGATGTTTCCACTTGTGCCGGGAGAAAAATATGTATTCTACTTTTCTACGAGAAAAGCTTATTACAAATAAAGAATAACCTGTTCGCAGCTCGGAATTAGTTGTTTTTTATAAATTTGATTTTGGTTACCCCGTAAATACGGAGAAAATAGAAAAAAAAATTAATCATTTTTTAGAAAATATTTTATTACTGCCCACCCGAAACACGTTTGTGTTAGAATTAAAAAAAAACATTTCTAGAATATTGACTCAAAATTCGCTACTTTGCAGAAGGAATCGTATCTGCGAGGATTTACGTGACCATGCAGAGTTGAGAGAAAGGGGTTGTAACACAAAACACGATTTCCCCACTGAAATGATACTTTTGGGGAAATACCCAGAACCAACTCAAGCAAGGCCTTGCGGACAAGTCCCTAGCTACGACACACGGGACCACTCAGGACAGACAATGCGATGCAGCTGGTAGAGCACTCTCGACGCGCATCACCGAAGGGGTTTCGATTCAGACTCAGGTGGAGGCACAAGTGCTAATTAATAAACCTGTAAATTGTATTCGTCGTCGTTGTCACGTGATAATTGTTGCAGTCGTTGCCCGAGATGACGACATACAAGCTATCAGCTTTGAGCGTGTATCGACCAGCGCGTAATACTTCAATAATTACAATGACAAACAAAACCTTGAGCTATACAAAATGTCACGACACCGACCTTTTTGGTATCGGGTTGCTACAGTTACGTTGAAGCTTCTAAGTGCACGTGTATCTTGTTCATGGGCATGCTGTCGACGATGTTTATTAAGATTCTAATGATGGTAGTCGATACACGTTCAGTTTGACAGTGATTTCTAGTCCCTGTATAGACATACTGCAGGTGTAGACAATCTGCAGGTATAGACGTGTTGCAGGTGTAGACATACCACAGGTATAATACTGCAGGTGGCGAGTGGGGGGTGAGTGAGTATGGTTTTACGCCGCTTTTTGTAGCAATATTCCAGCAATATCACGGCGGGGGACACCAGAAATGGGCTTCACACATTGTACCCATGTCGGGAATCGAACCCGGGTCTTCGGCGTGACGAGCGAACGCTTTAACCACTAGGCTACCCGACCGCCCCGCAGGTGGAGACGTACCACAGGTGTAATACTGCAGGTGTAGACATGCTGCAGGTATAGAAATACTGCAGGTGTAATACTGCAGGTGTAATACTGCAGGTGGGGACATACCACAGGTGTAATACTGCAGGTGGAGACATACCACAGGTGTAATACTGCAGGTGGAGACATACTGCAGGTGTAATACTGCAGGTGGAGACATACCACAGGTGTAATACTGCAGGTGGAGACATACCACAGGTGTAATACTGCAGGTGGAGACATACCACAGGTGTAATACTGCAGGTGGAGACATACTGCAGGTGTAATACTGCAGGTGTAGACATACCACAGGTGTAATACTGCAGGTGGAGACAATCCACAGGTGTAATACTGCAGGTGGAGACATACCACAGGTGTAATACTGCAGGTGTAATACTGCAGGTGGAGACATACTGCAGGTGTAATACTGCAGGTGTAGACATACCACAGGTGTAATACTGCAGGTGGAGACATACCACAGGTGTAATACTGCAGGTGGAGACATACCACAGGTG